TTTATAAAAATTTTAAAAAACCGCTTCTTGACCATATAAATTTTTTAAATTATTTTTTAAAGTACGTTGAATTTTTAATATATATATATATATATATATATATACACGCGCGCGCACACACACTTTCAGCTTAAAACATCACAATACAAATATTTTTAAATGCATTGTAATTAATAATAACTATAAAATCAAACGAATAGATAAATTTTATTTAAAACATGATAGTTTTAAAACAGATTTAACCTCCGCATATCTGAACCCAATGATCCAGGATCAAAATGTTATTAAACCTGTCTTAAAAAAAATAAATAAACAAAATAAAATAAATAAAAGCCCACAGCGGGCAGACCCGAGTCTAGAAGGATCGGATTGTTTTGGTATTCTCCCCGTCTTCTCTCTCTCATTAAATTTCTTTCCCACTTACTTGCATTAGAAGCTCATCAGAATCATCTTCATAATCAATACACGTCACCATTCATTTCCTCTTACAGAATTCAATTTCTGTCAGTCAGGTATCTGTGATTAAATTTTTAAGCTTAATAATTTTCTGAGTTGTATTTTGATATCGATGTGGGTCTTGTCTAACCAAGTTCATGGCTGTTGTTGATTCATCTAAAACCTTGAATTTCAGTCAAACTAATAAAATCATGTTCAAACTAAGAATAGATTGATCGATATTCATTTTATATGTTTTCCAGATTGTGAACTTGCTTGATTTTCTTCTTTAAATGCTGACCTTCCAGGTGCAACAGTTAAATTCCCATAATCATGCATGACCCTGGATCAGTAATACATTGGAATATTGTGCTTCAAGTTAGCGTATGTTGTTTCGAATTTTATTGCCCTATCATATCTCTCATTGTAATTTCCTGCAGTGACTTTCATTTCTTCTTTGGTGGGGATTAAAAGGAAGCATCTATTCACTTTTGGAGCTGCATAATTTTATGAACATTGAGATTTCACAAGTTTGTAGTTAGCTATATATGGCTTCTGATCTCCAAGGTCTATATTCAATGCCTGAAACATACTTAATCCTCTTTTAATTTGTTTTCCTGTTTGTATGCAATTCTGGGATTGTTCTTGTTAATATCCTGATAGTACTCTTTTCTTTGCGTTTGCAGGTAAAGCTATTGTAATCATGGGCGTCAGTGGATCTGGGAAATCGTAAGTTCTATCTTCATATCTCCTTCTGTTGTTAGCAGTTCTAAGAAATCATTAAGATTTGAACTGCGCCGATAACATTTACGTTTTCCCTTCATTTTATCTCTTACATCCTTGTAGTGAAATCCTCGTTATTGTCTTGTCCACTCTTTCACTGAATCTACCTCTTTCTTTGGGGGAAAATCAATAAATAAAAAAGTATAGGTTTCTAAATCTTACAGTTTCCCTTTTCTATCTGAGATAGCTACAGGTAAAGTGATTCTTATTTCTTTATTTCCTTAATATCCTCAGCAAAGCTAGCTGTCCACCTGTGAAGATTCATTTTCATCTTTATTGTTCTTGAAGCATTATAAAGTGGTGAACGTGTTTATGGTCATCATTGTGGCTGCAATTGTGCTTCCAGTTATGATTATGGTGTTTTCTTTTTCAGCGTGAATAAAATTAGAGCCATCAATGGTTCAAAAAACATAGTAGCTAAGCAGAGAAAGCAAATGTTCAACAACAAACAAAGATTTATATTTGTTGGCTCAGAACAGATTGTGATGCAATACAAGAAGGGAACAATTATATGATAGCAACTTTAGGGTTAAGGGATTATAAACTATAGTATAATTAAGAGTTTAAGATGCAAAAATAATGGACTACTAGTCTCTCACCAGTATTCAAGGAATCACTTGTTTAGAAAGCCTGACTGATGCAGGACAGCTTAGGAGCCCGTTTTGGATCTGAGTTTAGAGGCTGTTTAGGGTTTTTTAGGCCTGTATTGATGTTGATTTCTGCTGGAATGTTGGAAGTATGTGGGTAGATTTCTAGGAGTCACACCTAAGAGGGGGATTGAGTCACACAATCGAAGCAAATTGCTGGAAATTATTAGATATTATTGCATTGAAAGATATTAAATGACTACATGCTGTATTTATAGAGTTTTAGATATCCAAATCCTACTAGGGTAAGGATTCCTAAACCTTGTACGTAACTATTCCTATTTAGAATAAGGAAACCTATAACTATTCCTATTTTAGAATAGGAAAACCTAATAACTTTAGGACTGAGAAAATAAAATAATTAAACAGAAAAGTTGTGATTTCCAGATTTTCCAGCACTTCTGAAATTACCAAAATACCCTTATCAATTACTCAAGTTCCCAACTAAGTTTTTTCATCACTAGCCATGTGCCAATTCAGTGCTTGAGCATTGTTCTTATTCTTAGAACGTCTTCAAAGACCTTTGGGGGCTGCTGCCAAAGTACCCCATCACTCACACTTCAATAACATAAACCAAACTGCTGGACTGTTTGTGACTTTGTTGATTGCTGGAAAAAGATGCTACAAAGCTTAAATAGGTTGCCAATTATTTAAAATATATAATAATAAATCATAACCACCCAAACAGATTAATATAGACCATACATGTGGATGCAAATAAAATAAAGACTTTAAAACCCCGATAATAGACCCCCACAAAATCATAAAAATAGGAACTAAGGCTGCTAATGATGTTGCCTTGACAGAGTAATGTGAACAATAACATCCCTCCAGAGAACTCTAACTCAACTCCCAAGTAGAACCAGCATCACCATTATCCCCCCAATCAAAGCTTCAGGTTTATAATTTTGTCTCTTTTTATCTCTTTTTCAGACTTTAAGCTGATTTCTATCATCTTTCTCTGCTTGGCTCGACCTTGTGGAGTGATCAACTAGAAATTGCTTGTACATATCTGAACCAAGTTCTGCTTATAAGTGAGCCAAGTGCATTTTGAAGATGGTCTTGCTGTCCATTTGACAAGAAATTTTCAGTAACCACCATCTCTAGCAGACACAATGGGAGAATCAAAGACAGATTGAATCTCTTCTATAGGCTTAGGGAGCTGAACCGGTGCATTTTGGACACTTGTGTCCCCCTATGCCCATGATGCTTGAACAGGGCAACCACATTAAAGATTGGACTAATACGCATGTTATCAGGTAACTATAGCTCATAGGCATTAGAACTAATCTTTTTGAGAACCTTGAATGGACCTACAATTCTTGAATGGAGCTTCTAAATTTACCCTTTGGATAATGCTCAGGTCTAATTCTTTATCATCACCATATCCCCTTCATTGGGCTTCACAAAGTCTTGATGCAAATCAGCATAGGCTTTGTAAGAATCATTACTATATTTGCTATCTTTCTCATCGCTTCATCAAAAGTCTCTGTAACATGACCTGCAAAATTTTCAGCCTCAACACTAGAATTTAGGTGGAAGTGGAATAGGTTTGCGAAATTGAATCCGGACAACAATCTGGAAAGGACTCTTTCGAGTAGATCTATTAACAGAGCTGTTGTGGACAAAATCAGCCATTTGACAAATTGTTATCTGATTGGGTGACATGATCACCAACTAAGCATTTCAAAAAGTCCCTCAAACTTTGATTCACCACCTCCATTCGCCTGTCAGTTTGTGAATCAAAGGAAAAAGAAAACATGCAGCTTGGTTTTCAATAATCTTCTTACAGTCCTCCAAATATAACTCATGAAATTTCTCACATCATGGTCTGAAACTACAGTTAGCAGAAGGCCATGTAGACACACTATGAAAAACCACCTAGCAACACTGGCAGCATCATATGTCTTATTACAAGGGATTAAATTGACTCATCTTTGAAAATCTGTCCACTGCCATAAAAATGGAATCATATCCCCTGTTAGTCTTTGGCAAACTCAAGATGGAGTCAATTCTAAGATCAGATTGGTAGGAAAAAACTTTTTGGCTGGATCACATTGCCAATGAGATCTCTCCTTTATTCGTACTATAAAATGCAAATATAATTGAGCCTTGAATGATTCATAACTACTTTGGACATTTGATTTGTCAATAATAGAGAATTTTTAGTCACAACTGACCAATGGTTGTTTAAAAATTATAGTTGGAAATAGTTCTATTGCCATTGGACAATTAGATATTCCATTTGGCCACTATTTTGGAAAATAAATGGCAACTTACAATAATCATCCTGAAATGTCATGGAATTAGAATTATGTCTTTGTAAATTTCACAGCGCTTCAGGGGGTTATTGCAAGTCACCCTAAAATAAATCATGAAATAGGTTCAGTGTTGGTTTCTGAAACAATGGATTTGCCAAAATATTTTTATGACTATATTTCGTCATTTCCAGTGAATTAAATCCAGTAACAGTATGAAAAAGCACAAAAACAGAGGGGAACAATTGCCCCTGTTGCGGGGAAATTGGCACCCCAATAATCTTTTCTGAACCCTTTTTCTTCCTCTTTATATACTTGCTTTTGAATACTCTGACGTAGTTCCATTCATATGCCTTGCTAATATTTGTATTGATAGAGCTTACTAACATTTGGATGGAAATCATCAGAATGTACTTTGAACCCTACACTGCCATAGCAATTCATTATTTCCCTTTTAATATGATATGCTTGTGTTTCATATTCTCTTGCATTTTATACTCTTTATCTACTTGCTAAAACTCCAACTCCTCCCAAAGGATTATTGGTGAAACCTCTCATTCTCTCGCTCTTTACCTGTGCTTCAAATCCCTTTATGTAACCAAAGAAAAAAACAAAATATTGTGCGCTCTTTAACAGGACAATAGGTGAGCTTCTGGCCAAAGATTTGAACTGCAAGTTTCTGGATGCTGATGATTTTCATCCTCAATCCAACAAAGGTACCTACCTATAAACTTATTTGATTTTTTTTTTTTTGGGAAACTATTCACTGTAATTTTTGTTTCCTTATTAAAGTCTTCATTCTTTTCTTAAATTTATTTATATTTCTCTCATCCTATTTCGACGTTATTATTTTTTTTTCCCCCCAACACTAGACAAAATGCGTCAAGGAATTCCTCTAACAGAGGAAGACCGGATTCCATGGCTTAAAATTCTGCAAGATGCTTTAAGGGAGAGCTTGGTCAGTGGAAAAACTGTAGTACTCGGCTGTTCTGCATTGCAGAAACGATATCGAGAAATTCTTAGATCTGCTGACTGTAATTATGTTCCTGGAAGCTATAACAGTTTAGTTAAGTTTGTTTTGCTGGATGCAAAGGCTGAGGTGCTTGCAGAGCGGTTGAATAAAAGAGCTGCAGAAGGGAAGCACTTCATGCCAGCAAAGCTTTTGCAATCTCAGTTAGAGTTGCTTCAGATAGACAATTCTGAAGCAATATGTAAAGTTGACGGTACTTTAAAGCCTCAAGCACTTGTAAATGCCATAAAAACTTTGATTGTCGGATCAGCCTGACAACCATTTGCATTGCAAGTGCAGTGAGAATTCATGACCAGCCACTTCAAATATGGCCGGCCTTGCTTCATGATGAGAGAAGCCAACTTGGTTCCGATAAAGATCATGTTTAGAATAAAAGGCCGTACAGATCTTTGTAGGTATAATTGTTTTCAAGGAATTGATTAGAAATTCTATATTCCTGCATTGGATCATTACAAGCCACAAAACTGGCACTGTCACTTAAAACGTATTTTTTGCTTTGTGGGACCTTTTTGTTTCGAATTGACTAGTCCAAGAATGATAAAACCGTTTAGTAGCTTGATAAGAGCAGGGAAGATAATATAACGCTGAAATTCTGTAGCTCATACAAAATTTACGTCGAACTTCCTCTAGCTCTGGGAAGCTGACATGAGCCCTAGGGGCCACAGCTAGTTCCATCTCTATCTTAAGAAGGCTGTGGTGCCCACTTGGAAGACAATGTGTTTCCTTCGTGCTTATTTGTATATTGATAAGTTTTTAACTGCTTTTGGTTTAGAATCAATATTCTATTAGGGTTTGCTTGGTTTGGAAAGTAAAAAACATGAAGCTTTAAAAGTGGAAGGATAATGCGGATGCGTGTGTGAAAACCAATTAACAAACAAGAACAAAGAAAACACATCACGCGAGTGGGCTAGTTTTAATCTTTGTTTTGTAGGAAGCATCCATCTTTTGGCCAAGGATCCAACATGTTTCGTGTTAGAACTTTGAGGCTAATCTAATTTTGGAGTTAGGTTAGTTGAAAACTCGATAATGTTCAAAAGGGGGTTAGGATATGTTAGATGAATAAAATGGTCCAAAACACGAAATTTGACCCCCATTTGGGTTCTAATGATCCATTGTGATTTGAAAGGGAAAAACGAGGTCACCACTCAATTCCAAACCCATTCATTTTCCAGGTGATTAGAGTATGTTTAAATACTTTCAACCCATCAATAGGATTAGAGCAAGATGGACTAAAATAGACATAATAAAACCAAACACTAGGTTAGAAGTTTTAATGGCTCATTATGAGGCATTTTAAAGGTGACTTCAGTCTTTTCTTTAGTGCACGCAATGCCATAACAAAAAATTTTAGAACTAGTGCAGATTTTTCTTAGTTTTCACCATTCTAAAAAAACAACCGAAGGTGACTCCATTAGTGCACTAGGTTTTTCATGATCGTCTTAATATACATATCCGATAGTTGTATTAGAAAAGAATTACAAGAGCTATAATAAGAAAGTATGACTAAGAGAGTTCAAAGAAGGGGACGTAGTGTTGAAGAAAATCTTGCCTATTTCGAGAGAGGATAGAGCAAATGAACACCTAATTATGAAAGTCTATATATGGTTAAGAAGACATTTTCAAGAACTTTCATTTAATCAAACATGGACGGTGTCGATTTGCTCAAGCCTTCTAGTTTGGATGTTGTGAATAAATATTATGCTTGGAAGATTGTTTACAAAATTATTATGTTCCTCACATTATCCTGTTTTTATCGATCTACAAATGTGTTTCATATTTCATATAGTTGACTTCACTCAAATTGCCTTCTATATTGCCCTTTGGTATTATATTCATAATATCGAGTTCATTATTCCTGTCACACTTCAATTAGCACTTTGATGTAATCCTACCATAATCCATCCATATGGTCCTTTTTATCAAGATTTTCTAACTTGTTCTTGTTTCTATTAGTTTCAATGAGGAAAATCATTCTTTATTAAGCCTCAAGAACAGCTTATCACATTATCTCTCATGAGTCTTTAAAATTAGTTTCTTGTCTTCTTCTTCTTCTTCTTCTTCTTCTTTTTTTTTTTTTTTTTTTTTTTTTTTTTGTCTTAGTTAAGAGGATTTTATAATAAAAAATATAAAAAAATTGTTCAATAGTAGTCTATAAGCCAAACTAGTTTCTATATTCAAAATAAATGAGTTCAATTAATTACTCTAAGCGTACTACTACTAATTTTAATGATTTTTTTGGTTTTTTTTATAATGTAAAGTCAAATTAAACAAATTACAATCGGTTTACAAATCTTGGAAGAGGTCCGTAATTTGTCCAAAATTGTCAGCTAGTTTGTAAGGATAGTTGTTCACAACAATAACTAATTTAAATTGATAATTCAAAACTATTAAGCTAATTTACAATCAAATAACAAGTTCGAACTAAAGACTAGAAGATTAAAAACTTATGTATTGGAAAAATAAGGTTGCAATCTTAATAGGAACTCAAGTGCGAGCGAGAACTCGTAAACTTGTTAATTTTAATAGTACATTAATCAAACTTACAAGATGCGATTCTAACAATAATTTCTTAGAAGCAAGAACTTATATTTATTAAGAATAGTAAATGCTTACAAACTAGTACTCCGGACATAACAATCTCATAGGAATTGAAAATCACGATCACATGTTAAAAATATAAGTTGATAATCAAGAACTAGTTATTGGCCAACTTGATTATAACCTAAAAGCTATAGCTTAACCTATATGGAAGTGTATGCCCTAAGCCATGAAGCTGAAAGTCCAAGGCCAATTGGGCTTGAAAATGCCGAGAGCTTAGATGTTCTTTAAGGTCGAGTCATTCAAGACCTAGTGGGTTGAAATTGTTCAACATATTTATCTTATTCATGCTTTGATTTTATTTATATATTTATATCCTAATTTTTAAGGAATATTATGTTTTCAATTTATTATGTATTTTGGATTTGCGCTAATTAATTAGTCTTCATTGGATATGGATTGTTTTGTTTTGTTTTTTTTTTTAAAATTTAGGGTTGGCAAAATATAGGCCTAGGTTAGTAGGTTTGGAATTCATATTTGTTATGTATCCATATTCGTTTAAGAATCTATAATTATTGAGGGTTCATATTAAATTAGGAGTCCTTAACTATTTTGGACTAGGGTTAATGTCTCGTTTCTAATATAGATAAGAGTGAGACTTAAATATCCTCTAAAATTTAAAGGATATTATCACACTCGTTGTGTGCCTTAGGAACCTAGTATTTAAACATTCTTATGTAATATGGAAAAGGATTTTTTGTTGAAATTGAATAAAATTTGTGTGAGAAGGATTTCTTTACCGGCATTTTCTTGTGATTTGCTTAGAAGCATTACAATTGTATCTTTGACTTGATCGTTCAAGGTGGTGACTTGATTATTCACGCAAACTTATGCTTACTTAGGTAGTGCTTGGAGTTATAGTAGAGTTGCAGATTTTACCATAATCGACGAATGTAAACTTAATAGGGTTTTGGCATCTATATAGTTAGGTTTAAACTTGTTAATTTTTAATAAAATTGACTCTTGGTTTATTGAGATTATGGAGTGGAGAATTTGGGTTGGAATTTTCTTGTATTGATTTCGAATTTCTTGAGTTAATTGAGCAAGATTATTGTTTAGCTTTGATATAGATTGGCCTACCTTGCTTAATTTGATTGGATTGGTAGTTTCAATAGCCTTGCTTATTAGGGTTAGGGTTTTGGTTTAGTCCTATTATTTAGAGTTTGTGCTCGTTTGTGTATGGATTTAAGTTTGTAGAATATTTGTGGATTGATTATGGTTGTTTAAGCTTAGATTGTGCTAAACTCTTGGTTGTTGATTTTAATTAGGAGTTGTTTTATGCTTGTTGCTTTGACTATTGTATTGTTTTCACAAGATCCATGTCACTAACAAGTTAAGTGTGTTGAAATTTTTAGTGTAGGTGTCCAAGATCCAACTTTGTTTGGATAGTTTGACTTATTATAATATTACATTCTTTATTTTATTAATAAAGAAGTTTTTCTATTAATTATTGTCATTTATATTTTGATAGAATTAGATAGAAGTCCTTATAATAGGCATTGCATTATTTATTGATCGAAAGATGTGAGATAAACATTAATTTACTTAAATAATATTATTAAATATCCTAAGTCATAGCATTGTCAATAATGGACATTGACTATATATGATAAGACTTATGAGTACTATACTTATACTATAAGCTAGCAGTAGGAGATCTCACACCTATTGGCATGGTGATGTCAAAGCAAGCGCTTAAGTGATTAATGTTAGAGAAGATATCACCGGACGTGACTTGCCATGAGAACCCATTTGGTTTAGTCTATGAAAATCTCATATGAGATGGTACAACTAATCCTTTGACTTGAAGTTATCATGATTATCTCATTAGAGGATTTATATACTTTGACACTCGTTTTAATGAGCTTAGTTAAGAGTTGCATGTAGATGGTTCATTAGGTGCACTAGAAATCTAATAGAGATAGGTTGATGACTACGATAAGACATGTAGACGATTCATTAGGTGCACTAGGAATCCGTAGCTATAGTAGGAGTATAACAATAGAGCACGGTTGGTTTAGTCTAGATAGTTGGTATACTTCAAAGCTAAGACATTTAGGAATAAAAAACTTGTGTGATCATAATCAAACAGATTATAAAGTACGTTTGAGATCACATTATGATAAATTGACATAAGGATTGAATTATATCATAATCATACTCATGAAAGGTAATTACAATTAATTAATCCTCATAAAGAAATGGGTAGTCATGATGTCTTACTAAAACCTAATCTTGATTTATGTATTAAGAGATGAAAGAGGTGTTTTTTTATTCTTGATACATTACCAACATATCTAGGAACCTATTGAGTCATACGCATAAGTTTAAGCATTTACATAATAAAAGAGAAGCAAAGATTTTAGACAAGGTTTCAAGTTTTGAAAGTTTCCTATTTTGAAAAAGGTTTTCGAAAATGGAAAGTTTCTCGTTTTGGAAAATTCTTTTTTAAGATGGAATGTTTGTAATTTTAGAAATCAGTTTCCTAATTTAGAAGTCAATTGCCTAAAAGAAAAATTAGTTTCTTAATTTAGGTTTAAGGGTATTTTGAAAATTGATTCCTAAAATGGGCTTCCTAAAGATATCCGATCTAATTTCTTGGATAGTCTAAATTAATTAATAATTAATTGAGTCAAAAGAGTTTAGGCCAATAGGCT